TATTTAGGACATAGCTCAAACAACACAAAGCGTTGACTTTATACAAACAACTTTATACAACTACTGGGTGATCTTTTTCAGTGCAATGCGTTTATACTGTTCTCTCCTTTTTAATCTCTTCACCCGCTTCATGAAAAAAATGGCAGTCAAAATGGCACTCTGTGACTGAACCACATCTAGGTGAGTATCCCTTGCTTGTGTAGGGAGGAAATATCTAGTCAAAATGGTACTCTGTGATTCCTCATTCGTTTTAAAGTTGTGGCAAGACGGTTTGCGACTTTTTACAACAAAGGAAACTTCTGTATCTTCTCATCTTAAACTGGAGCCTTCAACTCTGGAATATGTCTCCAATGTGCCTTGCAAGTGGAGGATTCCAGTGGAGGCAGAACGAATGCTTGTAGGTTATAGAGCGGTACTGAAAGGACTGGCCTTTCCAGCAGCAACTACAAGATGACATAATAAATGGGAAACGGACGTCAAAAGGTAACTATGCAACAGGGCAGGCAAACCTATCACTGATACGTCATGTGGCTGTGGTAGTAATAACTGTAAAATCATGGCCTATGATTTCATTGACAAATGCGCTAAGGGGGTAGATTATGCTGTATCCCTCACCGCTCCGTGTGTGTCCCTCCCAAAGCTGTGCGCTCAGTGGAAGAGGACGACCATTCCAGGTAGAAGGAGTGTACTATTCTTCAGTCAGGGGTATACGATAGCTGTGCTCCCCTGGTGGAACCTCCAAACTTTTTGCTAAGCATCTTCCAAGAACACCATTTAATACATACTGCAGCACCTTACTTGGATGTGTCTGGAGTCTTGGAAGCTTGACTACCCTACGTTCTCCTCCAATTGGACTCTTGAGCTTGTTTGGAGGTCCTAGCAGGGGGGCGGAGCTAGCATATACCCTTGACCAAAGAATGGTGCACCTCTTCTATCTGGGATGGTCATCCTCTTCTACTGAGCACGCAGCATTGGGAGGGACACACATGGAGCAGGGAGGGAGGGAGGGGACACCCGCCTAGTCAGCTAGATCAGCCAAATCAACCCTGGCGATCAATGGGGTGACACATATAGCAGCCAGATCGCCCTCACGTCCTCTTCGCCTGTCACTTCTCGCTTTGAAGCGACCATCACAGCTGAAGGAAGGTAGCTATCAAGTACTCTTGAATATTCAGAGGTGATGACAGGCTCAGATAACTCACAAGTAAACCCTAAACGCTACATCACAATGATAGCAGCAATATATTATGAGCGAAGGACATCTAGGTGAGTATCTCTTGCTTCGCTGGAAAGAAAAAAATTATTGTCTTCCTTCTGCAACTCTTTGTGCAAAGACTGTTTCAGGTCACAGGAGAAGGACGATCACAGCGCCATGAGCTCACTGGAGAAAAGGTAGGTTACTGATGTAATAATACATAAAATATACAAGTTCCTAAGGAGCTTGCACTTAGCAACATTGGTCATTCAGTCATTTTTTTCAGATGAGCTGGGAAGTGAAGATGCCAGGTGGCCGCCATTCCTGTTTCCAAGGGAACTTCTTCTGTCGAGATGTCACTGCAGAGAAGGCCTTTTCCTGTGTCAGTCCACAATGAGGTACACTTGCAGGCGGGACAACGCTCTTTGTTTTGTTCCAGATCTTCTGTTTTACAGACGTCGCAGAGTTCACTGTGTCTGAGGCAGAGCTGTTTTGTTAACTCCCAAGATGCAAAGTGAGTAAGAGCTCTTGATACATCAAGTAAAAACCAGCAGCGTATTATTGAGAGAATAATTGTGTGTTTTTGATTGTGCAACTTTAGGTAACCTGCTGTTTTTGTTCCTCTGTTTCTGTAGGAGAGAGAAAAGGTGCTGAAGACCCCAGTCTCTTCCAGGTGCATCTCATTGACACCCTCTCTTTACAGTTGTGTCTGAAGAGCCCACAACACTCGGATGAAGCCACCTCTTCCTGCAGAGTCACAGAAGTCATGGTGGACATATTTTACAAAACAAACAAACAAACAAACAAACAAACAAACAAACAAACAAACAAAAAGCTCAGAAAAATACCAAGATGGAGATTTTAAAGAGAATCAAGAAAATTGAAAATACATAACTGGAAAAGCCAAGAGAAAATGAAGATGAAGGAAGGAAGGGGGGAATCCAATTTTGCTTACCTTTCAAACTAAGGAGACTTTGGATGAACAGAAGGAGCACATGAAAGTGTACATGGATATGAAGTCCGCTTAAAGAAGAGGGATAATGAGTAGGGAAAATAGAAGGCTTTTCTTTTAAAAGGCAACTAAAGTCATTTCATGAAGGGAAAGTTGGGGTTTTTTGTTACTGAAGCTAGAAATGTGCATGTCAAGAGAGAAAAAGCAAAGAAGACAAGGAGAGGACAAAGCCGTTTCTTCTAATTTCATGTTGGCTCAGGTTGCCTTGGAAGGAGAGAAAGACAGGTAAGTTAAAAACTTGCTGAAAAGGCAAATAAAGCATTTTGAGGATGAAACTGCTGATGGCGACTGGAGAGTGACTGCTCAGGCACACGGCAAGTCCAGGATCCTGGGGGAAAGTGCTTTCTCTGAGGGAAGTTCCTGAGAGTGGCTAGAGTACTGGATTAGGACCTGGGAGACTCGAGTTCAAATCCTCCCTCTGCCATGAAGCGCTCTATCTCTCAGCCTAACCTGCCTCACAGGGTTGTTGTGAGGATCCAATGAGGAAGCAGACTAGAACATCAACTCCACTAAGCCTTTCCAGCAGAACCGGCAAGATTACGAAAAGATATGGGAAATGGAGCTCAAAAGGTAACTATGGAACAGGCTGGGCAAGATTATCCCTGATGCGTAACGTGGCTCTCTGGTGGTAATAACCAAGGTTTTCGGATTTGATTTTATTTTTGCTAAGCATCTTCTAGGAACAGCTATTTGGCACATAGCTCAGACAACACAAAGGGTTGACTTTATACAAAGAAAAATTGGGATCCTCCATCACTGAAGGTGATGCCAGTTTATCAAAATACCAATTTTAAAACCAGGTCTAGCAGTCAGCTTCCTTTGCCAGTAACTTCCCACCTGGAAACTAGTGCTGCAGTTGAAGGAAGGTAACTATTAAATACTTTGGAATTTCAGAGGTGGCGACAGGTGCAAATGCATTCTGATTGAAGGGCTTCTAGGTGAGTATCTCGTGCTTGGCTGGAGAGAAAATCTCTTTTCCACCTGCAATTCTTGTGCTGAGACACTTTAAGGATCACAGTGGGAGGGATCATCACAGCAACTGGGGCTCATTGGAGGAAACGTACAATATAAATGGAATAACACATACAAACCAAGACAGCCAAGGAGCTTATATGGAGCGATTTTGGTCATTTAATCATATTTTTTTAATAGAAGAGCTAAGCAAGTTCCACGTGGTTGCCACCTGAGCTTCCAGCAGGAAGAACCTTATGCAGTCTGGACACAGGACAGATCCTTTCCTGTGTTGCTGCCCAATGAGGTCTATCTGCTGGTGGGAAAACCCTGACTAATATTCTTTTGCTCCAGCTCTTGCTTTTTACACCCCACCAAGAGCTCCGTGTATCTAAAGCAGTTGATGCAACGTGAGCTCAGTTCTTGATACATCAAGGAGAACCCTGCAGTAGATGTTTGAGGGACACCTGCATTTTGACTGACCTGCATTAGGTTATCTGCTCTTTCTTCCCACTACTTAGTGATCTTTTTCAGTGCAATGCTTTGTACTGGTTTCTCCTTTTTAATCTCTTTAATGAAAAAATGGCAGTCAAAATGGCACTCTGTTACTGAACCACATCTAGGTGAGTATCCCCTGCTTGACTAGGGAGGAAATATCTAGTCAAAATGGAACTCTGTGATTCTTCATTCGTTTTAAAGTTGCGGCAAGATGATTTGCAACCTGTTACGATAAAGGATTCTTCTGTATTTTCCCATCTTAAACTGGAGCCTTCAACTCTGGAATATGTCTCCAATGTGCCCTGCAAGTGGAGGATTCCAGTGGAAGCAGAATGAATGCTTGAAAGTTATAGAGCTGTACTGAAAGGACTGGCCTTTCCAGCAGCAACTACAAGATGACATAATAAATGGGAAACGGATGTCAAAAGGTAACTATGCAACAGTGCAGGCAACCCTATCTCCGATACGTCATGTGGCTGTGGTAGTAATGACTCTAAAATCATGGCCTATGATTTCATTGACAAAAGCGCTAAGGGGGTGGATTAGGCTGTATCCCTCATCGTTCCATGTCCCAAAGCTGTGCGCTCAGTTGAAGAGGACAAGCATCCCAGGTAGAAGGAGTGTACCATTCTTTGGTCAAGGGTATACGATAGCTGTGCTGGAACCTCTAAACTTTTTGCTAAGTATCTTCCAAGAACACCATTTAATGCATGGTTCAGACAACACAAAATTCAGCACCTTACTTGGATGTGTCTGGAGTCTTGGAAGCTTGCCTACCCTACGTTCTCCAACAATTGGACCCTTGAGCTTGTTTGGAGGTCCTAGCAGGGGAGCACAGCTATCGTATACCCTTGACCAAAGAATGGTGCACTTCTTTTATCCGGGATGGTCGTCCTCTTCTACTGAACACGCAGCTTTGGGAGGGAAGCACATGGAGCGGTGAGGGAGGGAGATCAGCCAAATCAGCCAAATCAACCCTGGCAATCAATGGAGTGATAGATATCACAGCCAGATCGCCCTCACATCCTCTTCGCCCTTCACTTCTCACTTTGAAGTGACCATCACAGCTGAAGGAAGGTAACTATCAAGTACTCTTGTATTTTCAGAGGCAATGACAGGCTCAGATAACTCACAAGTAAACCCTAAATGCTACATCACAATGATAGTAGTAATATAGTTCTATACACTACCACTGAAGGACATTTAGGTAAGTATCCCTTGCTTGGCTAGGGAGGAAATCTTTATTGTGTTCGGTCTGCAACTCTTTGTGCTAGGACTCTTTCAGGTCGGGGTGACTGAGTCATCAGAAGAGGCCGTATTCTGCGTCACCACAATGAGACTCACCTGCAGGTAGGCGAAGACTTCTTCTTTTGTTCCAGCTCCTCTTTTCTTCAGGCTTCCCAGAGCTCACGGTACCTGAAGCAGATCTGTTCAGTTGATGAGAAAGATGCATTGTGAGTGAGAGCTCTTGAAACATCAAGAAAAACCCTGCAGTGAGAGTCACCAGCATTAGGACAGTGCTGCTTTAGGTAAATTCACGTTCCACTACTCAGTGTCCCCCCCCCCCAGGACAATGTTTTTTGTATTTGTCTCTCCTTTTTCTCATTTTCTTTTCTGCTGGTCTCTCCGCAGGTCTCTCCAAAGAGCTCTTCTTAACATCTTCAGGTTTTCTTTTTCCTGAGAGAACATTCGCAGAATGTTCTCTCAGGTTTTGCTTTTCCCCTTGTTGCATTGCTCAAAAAAAAAGCAAAAGACACTGGTGGTCGGCGCTCCTGGTTCCCAGGACGGGGTTCAAATCCCTGTGGTGTCCATGCTCACTTCCAATGCAACTGCTAACACTCTCTACCCCTCTCTATCTCTCTACGTCTCTATCTCTCTCTCTGTCTCTCTATCCCACTCTATCTCTCTATGCCTCTCTATGCCTCTCTGTCTCTCTATCCCTCTCTATCCCACACTGCCCAAATAACGACTGGCTCCTTTTTTCTTAAGCCAAAGTATTAGCATGGGAGGGGGGTGACTTCAGTGACTGAGCTTGATTCTTGACTCCACCATTGCACCAAAGGACCATTTCAAGCACCACCTTCAAGGTTCCAGGACGGGGTTCAAGTCCCTGCGGTGTCCTTGCTAACTTCCAGTGCAACCATCTATTTTCCCCTATATCCCTCACTTCCCAAAGTATTAGCATGCGAGTGTTTTTGGGTGGGGATTTCAGTGAATAAGCTTGATTATGAACACTGTCATGGCATCTAAGGACCAGTTCAAGCAACCTTTGCACTGTGCCTGCAGCTCTAATGATGCTCCCCTGATGCACCACCAGGTGTGTCTAGATAGGCTGGATCATGTGGGTGCTTCCTATCCTAGCATCCCATGTATGTATGTATGTATGTATGTATGTTTTTTAATTTCTATACTGCTTTATATTTTTAAGAAAAATCTCAAAACTGTTTACAGAATATTAAAACATCAATAAAACAATCTGAAGAAAGTCAAATATAGAATATACAGTCAAAGCAACATAATTAGCAGAAAACTAAAATATTATCTTAAAGATTTCAAAATAAAACATTGCAAAGGAGGTCACCTACAGAATAAATATGTAACCCAAACAAAGTTAACAACAAAAGAACCCCAAACATTTCAAAAAAGAAAAAACATTGCTAAGTGAAGTCAAATATAAAATGCACATTTAAAACAGCATAATTAGCAAGAGAATAAAATATTATCATAAGGATGACACGGCTGTTTGGCAGGCACCAAAAGATGGGGCAAAAGAATCCAATACTTAGGGTTTGTTGTCAGGCATAGCAATGTCCCTCTGGTCTCCCCAGGAACCACTTTGGTAGTGCTGGGTGAGTGTGGGCCCCGCCCCCTAGGCCAGGTGGAAAGGGCCTTGCAGGGAGCGGCCTTCACGACTCACAGCCGGGCAATGTCCCTCTGCTCTCCCTTCAGTGCTAGCTTCAGGGCTCTGCATTCAGACCAGCAAGATCCCCAAATCCCAATGATCCCCAAATCCCATGCTCCTATTTCAGCTTTGTACAGAGCATCCAATACAACAGATGCAGCCAAGGGAATTCTCAACTTGCACCTTCCACCTCTTGCAGACCAGGGGCATAGGCACTGAGGGTACCATGCCTAAGAGGCCCCCGAATCCTAAGACCACGAGCCCCAATCTTCCAAAAGGAAAAAAACAACCCCAAAGAAACTGCCCCATCATCCCAACTCTACTTCCTTCATAATTAATAGTTGGGCAAGACTTCATTCTTTAGAAGGAAATGGCAATGAAACTTACAAGATTTTCATTTGCATAAACATGGTTAGAATTGGGCTGTAGCATACTCAAACTCATTTAAAATAATTGTATGAATAGACTAAATATTTACAAAATATATATGACACTCTGACACTAGATTCAGAACCGACAAAAAACAGTGGTGCAAAGTTCTTCATTCAGAGCATATTAATATTTTTTTATCGACAAGAGGTGTTGATGTGTCTGCAATGGGCAAATTCATGAAAAATGCGTCTATTAATGGCTGTTAAAATGGAACCTCCATTATCAGAGACCCTAGAACTCTGATGATTTTACTTTCTTGGGCTCCATGATCACTGCAGATGGTGACAGTACTCACAAAATTAAAAAAACACCTGCAATGACAAACCTAGACAGCATCTTAAAAAGCAGAGACATCACCTTGCCAACAAAGGCCCGTATAGTTAAAGCTATGGTTTTCCCAGTAGTGATGTATGGAAGTGAGAGCTGGACCATAAAGAAGGCTGATCGCCGAAGAATTGATGCTTTTGAATTATGGTGCTGGAGGAGACTCTTGAGAGTCCCATGGACTGCAAGAAGATCAAACCTATCCATTCTGAAGGAAATCAGCCCTGAGTGCTCACTGGAAGGACAGATCGTGAAGCTGAGGCTCCAATACTTTGGCCACCTCATGAGAAGAGAAGACTCTCTGGAAAAGACCCTGATGTTGGGAAAGATGGAGGGCACAAGGAGAAGGGGATGACAGCCCTTTGGTCAGCCCCATGACCCTTCACTTCATCAAATCTGGCCCTCTTTGAAAAAAAGTTTGGACACCACTGCAATAGGGGATTGATCTCTTCATCTTGCTCTGCTGTGAACTTCTAATTCCTAGGGTAATATAGTTGACAACTGTTGAAGGCAAAGAGCTACACAGGGTGGACCTTTCACCTGATCTAGCATAGGCTGCTTTTATGTGGTCAGCTGCATAGCCTATCAGTATATTCCAGTAGGGGGCTCCAAGGTTACAGGAAACAGTTGCTGCCCCCACCAGAGTGCCAAAGGGTCCTTTCACAACACCCAGTAGGAGGACTCCAAATACTGAAGACTTCAGAGGGACACAGGGGGCACCATATGCTTAAGAGCCATTATGTGTAGCCTAGCAACATTCCTCTGTGTAACAACAGCCTCTGCACCCTGCCATCACACCAGAATCCTGATTTAACTTTCAAAAATGTTATAAACCCATGCTGCTGATGTTTATCATTTTTATTGTACTTAACAAGTGCTGAAAGAGCTTTGCATTCTCTGTCTCAAGGACAGGTTACAAGTCGTATGTCACTCAGTTCTGCTGTTGCTGCTCTTCTTCTTTATAAACAAAACACAGCTTCCAAAGGAGGGCATTTGAGTGGGGCTGTGCTTTACACTTCCGCTATCCCACAGACTCTCTGCTTCAAATTGAAGAACCCCCATTTAGACTCATTGTGAACCTTCAGGGGAACCAACCCTCTCGGGGAGAAATTTGGAGTTGAGAGGCTGCAGGCAGGGAAAGGGTTAAAAACCAACACCAACACCCCTCCCACTGCTTCTCTGATCAAAATCACCCCACCTGAATCTGTTTTTCTTTTGGGAAGAATGGAACAGGGGGACAGTTACCAGTGTTTGCACGTAATGTCTCATAAAGGCATACCTCAGCAGTAACATCTTAATAACCCTCAACGTGGGTCTATTATACCTGCCGGTAGTCATGGAACAGGGACCCTCCTTCCTTGGATTCCAAAGCAGGTTCACCTGATTTGACCTGTAGGAGCGTCTCCACCCCCATTGTTCAGCCCTGACACTGAGGTCCAGCACCGAGGGTCTTCTGGCGGTTGCCTCCCTGCAAGAAGTAAAGCTACAAGGAACAAGGCAGGGCCTTCTCGGTGGTGGCACCTGCCCTGTGGAACGCCCTCCCACCAGATGTCAAAGAGAAAAACAACTACCAGACTTTTAGAAGACATCTGAAGGCAGCCCTGTTTAGGGAGGCTTTTAATGTTTAACAGACTATTGTATCTTAATATTTTGTTGGAAGCAGCCCAGAGTGGCTGGGGAGACCCAGCCAGATGGGCGGGGTATAAATAAATAAATTATTATTATTATTATTATTATTATTATTATTATTATTATTATTACTACTACTACTACTATTATTATTTCTCATATTGCACGTGAAGTAATGGAAACTGGAAGGAGGAGTTTGGGCTCCTGAGGCTAAATTTTGATTTGCAAACCATGGTTTGTAGCAAGCTAACACCTAGTCTGCACATGCAGATGCAAAATGAGTTTCTTTAGCTCTCTCTTGGCGGTAGGAGTGGAGGAAGTGAATATAGTTCCTCATAAAGTAGAGGGTGTCTGGCTCTATTTCAACTGCACTGTTCTCAGAACATTTGGGGAGGCTGTGCCTGTTTATTTAAGTTTCTAAATTAAGTATCATAGCACTATATATATATACAACGGTACCTCAGGTGAGATACTTAATTCGTTCCGGAGGTCCGTACTTAACCTGAAACTGTTCTTAACCTGAAGCACCACTTTAGCTAATGGGGCCTCCCGCTGCTACCGCGCCGCCGGAGCACAATTTCTGTTCTCATCCTGAAGCAAAGTTCTTAACCTGAAACAGTATTTCTGGGTTAGCGGAGTCTGTAACCTGAAGCGTATGTAACCTGAAGCGTATGTAACCCGAGGTACCACTGTATATATATATATATATATATTCACGACTGGCAACTATTGCAGATGTGCTGCCTCCCTACTTATTTCAAACCACCTCATATTTTCATCTAACAAATATTTTAAAAGATCTCTCCTTCCACCCATTGTGTTAAGGTGTACAGCAGACATGGGGACCCCTTTGGCCGCCAGATGCTGTTGAACTACAAATCCCATCACTCTTGTTCGGTGGCCATGCTTGCTGTGGCTGATGGGAGCTGCAGTTCAGTAACATTTGGAGGGCAAAAGGGTCCCCATCCTTGGTGCACAGCACTCACGGCAGGTATTGGATAAACAATATTGCGACATTGAGAGCAACTAAATTATCCACCCTTCCCTTTTTGTGCAGTGATTATTATAGGGAGTGTCGCAACTGTTTTCTTCAAGATTGCTGCCAATTAATAGTAGTATAGCATTGTGAAGCTATGAGGT